ACAAGTGCCAGAGCGCACAGAAACACTGGTTACCTTCCCGCCGCAGTGGTACCTATTTATCTACTTGCACTGGCGTGCTTTCGAACTGCTAGGTTGGCAGGAGCTGGGACAGAGCAACGGGAGCTCACTCCATCACGGGGATTCAAACTGCCAACCTTCCGATTGGCAAGCCCAAGAGGCTCAGTGGTTTAGGAGAGACTAGCACTGCCCCCAGACACATTAATCTCCCTGTTAATAAAAGCATGAGTTGGGGCAATGATGAAATGCAAACTGCATGGATGAGGCTGATGATACATTCCATTTCTTCATGATCTATGTCTTTGCAGCCAAAATGATATTGATTTCAAGTATTTCAAAATACATTCTATTCTGATAGAAGAAGACTCTACTGAAGAGAAGAGATCTGAAGAACAATTTCCCAGGCAGCAGTTTAGCACTCCTTTCTAGAGAATACTCTTTTTTTAAAAAACTTTTTCTATATCTATAAACTCTGTGGCAGCAGTGTTTAGCATTAGTGTAAATAGATCAGTTAAAAATTAATAGCCTGGAATGCTGTACTAAAATATTGCATTTATATCACAGGTTTCCTCCAAGGAGCTCAACGTGGCACAAACATTTTATTTTCATACATTTTAATAGCAACGTATTTGCCCCATTTTATCCACTTTTAATCTCATCAGTTAAAATTCTAATTCCATGGAAACCAAGCAAGGCTGAAACTAACCATGCTTTTAAAATGTGCATATATAACTGAAACATTACTTTCTATTTACAAATATTCACATCTGAATGCACAGCATGCACATTGTGAATTCAGGCTTTGCTGTGAATATTTGTTTCTGTTCCATAGTCAATGGCACTAAAATAGCCATTAATGTAAATGAACCTATTACTCAACAGAATTTTTCATGCTAAGTAAGTGCGATGTCAGGGTTAGAAGCACTGGAGCCTATGTGTCAAGTCACAGCTAATGAATATAGCTTGAACATCAAATGCTAATAAAGTTCTGGTAATGAACTCAGCATGTACTTATTTGTAAGCTAAAAATTATTCATGAAAAAAAATCTAATGGTATGTTTCCAATTGAAAATAAATGTGTGGAACAAATACATTGTTTATGGACAAGCTTCTGCTTGAGGTCTGGTCTGCTTTTAAACGCAGGTGGACAGGTGTTCTTCTGCATAATATTATCTCATGCATATGGTATTACAACTCAAATCTGAAAATGCTTATTTGCTTAATTTTAAATCCTGCCCCCCAATAAACCCATGTATCTGAGTACCCTGCAATTAAAGTAAGCTGATGTTTAAGCCTACTTCTCTGTTGACATTAATCAGCTTACAACCAAGTAGTTCGGCTGAACTCATTTGTGGATTGTGATGCAAGGGCAGAATTAAATGCAGGCTTATTGGGGAGTTTTCCATGTCTGAACAGCACATTTGACGCTTTAATTGGCAGAGCGTTTTGAAGAGGACCGACTTCTCAGTGCGAATAGTGTGTAACACTTTATACCTATGTACATAACCTCTCTCAACAGAAGACTGCTAAGCGCTTCTTAATGATGATTAGTTATGCTTTGCAAAACACCGAGGAATTGTGTTATTGAATTTATTTTGCAGTGGTAAATGGGGCAATTAAAATTTGGAATAATGACTGAACTGGTGAATCCAGAAGAATTGGATGCTCCACGGTTGGCAAGACAGATGTTAAGATCACTTGATCTCAGTCATAAAAGTATACCATATTCACAGAAAGAAGTTGTCACCAGGTGTTCACTGGAGTACCACCTTTCTAAGCAGCCAAAACTTGACCTATTGCTCCAGTGAAACTACCGTATTTTTCGCTCTACAAGACGCACCAGACCACAAGACGCACCTAGTTTTTGGAGGAGGAAAACAAGAAAAAAAATATTCTGAATCTCGGAAGCCAGAACAGCAAGAGGGATCGCTGCACAGTGAAAGCAGCAATCCCTCTTGCCGTTCTGGCTTCTGGGAGAGCTTCCATAAGACGCACACACATTTCCCCTTACTTTTTAGGAGGGAAAAAGTGAGTCTTATAGAACAAAAAATACGGTAGATATCACACACCAGCTCGGCACATCCTTCAAATCAGCACTTCCCTTGTTAACAATACGAGGTTTGCTTTTGTTTCCTCACTTGCTGTCCTCAGCTGTGCTTTTAAAAGTCCTTCACTTTCCAGTCTTGCTCCTTCCTGATGTGTTGCACTCAGAACAGTACCCATCACAGCTAATCAGAGCATATTCCCTGCTTCTTTGACAGAAAAAGCCTATAGGCTTCCTTTTTTAAAAATAAAAAATGCTTTTATGTGAACAACCGCACAAATGCACCAAACTAAAAATACCTTGCTAAATACTTCAGTACAGCAGGTTCCAGTTATCACAGATTTTTAATTAAGCCTTAAAAGTTTTAAGATCTCTGACAACGAGTGGAGATAACATGCTGTTTCAGGGAAATAAATAAATACACACTGAAGCTTGAGTAGGAGAAACTGACAACATGCCTTGTTTCTTCTTTTGGCCTATGAAGATCAAGGCTTTCCCTGCAGATCATTGATTTTTCTCTCCCATGTTCCTGCCATTTCACAACCTTCTGGCTTTTCATTAGCTGGAGCGTCTAAGGCAGTGTTTCTCAAACTTGGGTCTCCAGCTGTTTTTGGACTACAACTCCCATCATCCCTAGCTAGCAGGACCAGTGGTCAGGGATGATGGGAACTGTAGTCCAAAAACAACTGGAGACCCAAGTTTGGGAAACCCTGGTTTAAGGGCTCATCCAGACTTCCTTTTGTGCCGCATTCCTAGACACAGATGCATACTTTCCCCCACCCCACACGACACTTTCCCTGTGAATACCTGTTCTATACTGCTGAATCGGAGCAAACAGCAATCCACAGGAAATCCAAATTGCCATTTGTTCCGATTCAGAGTTAAAGAGCGAGTTTTCCTGAGGAAAGCAATGGAGCAAAAACAGGAAAGGGGGGGCGGGGGCTCAAGGTGGTGTACATCATTCTCTCATTCTTCATTTAATCCCTACAACAGCCATGTAAGGTAGGTTATGCTCAGAGGCACCGACAGGCACAAGGTCACCCAGTAAACTTCATGACCGAGTGGTGATTTAAACCCTGATTTCTCAGGTCCTAGGTCTGCCATTTTACCACTATATTACACTGGCTCTTTTTATTTCTCTCCTTATGGAACTGTACAGCTGGCAGGGACTATGGTGGTCATCTAGTCCAACCCCCTGCAATGCAGGGATCGTTTTGCCCAACGTGGGGTTCGAACCCTCAACCCTGAGATCCAGATGTCCAACCAACTGAGCTATCCCACATAACATTTATACCATGGGCTACTTAACAAGAGGGTTCTAGACAGGAGGAATAAATGGTCTCCATTGGATGTGCAAATTCACGTGCATGGAGCAAAATTCTGTAGAACTATGTGGAAGTAAGTACCAGTTACATGAGAAAAAGCAAATGCTTAGGATCTTTTGTTTGAAATCACAAGTGGGGAGACTTTTGTCATACCCCTATGCTGTTTGTGGGCTTCCTGCGAGCACTTGCTTAGACACTGTGAGAACAAGATACTGGACTAGATGGACTTTGGGCCAGCAGAGCACTTTTCATGTTCCTATGCTAGTTTTATAAAAAGTGAAAAGAAAGAACATCCACACTCCTAACATTTATTCTTAAGATAAGTCTTCAGTGCCCTCTGATCCACCCTCTGAACATTTTACCAAAATTCTTCCACCAGTCTCCCCATTCGGCGTAGTGATTCCTTTTCACCCCTCCCTGCCATGAATGGCTGAAAGAGGCAGAAGTTATCAGAACAGCTGTACTTTGGTCTTGCTATGTTCAACGGAGTCTATACAATTACAGTGGTACTTTGGGTTACATACGCTTCAGGTTACAGACTCCGCTAACCCAGAAATAGTACCTCGGGTTAAGCACTTTGCTTCAGGATGGGAACAGAAATCCTGCGGCGGCGCGGCAGCAGGTGGAGGCCCCATTAACTAAAGTGGTGCTTCAGGTTAAGAACAGTTTCAGGTTAAGAACGGACCTCCGGAACAAATTAAGTACGTAACCAGAGGTACCACTGTATCTGCTAGAGATAATGTTACTGAAATCTCCACATAGCGCACCATGTTCTGTGGCATTGCTGTGGTATAACCAGTTTATAAGACAAACTTGTGCTCTGCTGAAGAAAGGGTCACCTGCAATCTCAGTCTGGAGAAGGAAACATGGGTTATACATTTTGTCATTTATAAATAAACACGAGGAACCGTGAAAGTATTCAGTCATTATTATTATTATTTTGTCAACGTAAAATACACCACAGAAGACTTCCTTTTATTTTGCTTTTTCCTTGCCAATCCTGCATCACATCACACTTTACTGCTGTTTGTCAGATTTTCTGCAACAGTCTAGCAGGCTATAAAGGCTTTATGCTGAGAAAAGAACCCAGGGGATGTGGGAACAGTCTTAAATATAACATGATATATAAACGGCTGTTAAATTTACCTGGGGAAAGACAGCAAAGAAGCAATTTTAAAAGCCAGCATTTTAAATTGAATGTTGAACTGACACCTTAAGTTCTGAGAAAAGGGTCCGCAACAACACATCAGCTCGCAAAGTGGAAGTGCTTTACACTAAGCCTCACTGTTCTCAAAGCCAAATTGAGGCTTGATGCCAGGAAAAATCTATATCCTCAGCTACGAACACAAAGGCTTCCAATGCTGCCCGACTTTCCTTGCCATTAAGTACTCCTGTCCAATTCTGTTGTTTCCAGTGGCTTGACTCTTGGTTGATGAGCAAAATCAGGACCCAGTTCATTACCCTTTGTATGAAACAAACAGCTCTTAAGTTCTGATGCCAGCTTCCTATAGTTATATTACTTGACATCCCAGCATCCATGTGCCTTCCTTGTTCCTATGTATCAGTTTTCAAGCAGCTGAGGAAAGTGTGATGGGTCAGATCTAGTAGCTCACCCATAATGTGTACGATCCCCTGCGACTCCCCGGGAAAGTCAGCATGCTCTGATCTGAGACAGTAGCAGATGTGAGGCCGCTGCTGCTCCTGGACTGCGGCCATTCGAAACCAGCTTCTTCCTGCTCACGTTTGGTTTTCTGCTTCCTTATGATCTGCAGCACATCGAAAAGGAAACAAGGAAGGGTTCAGTGCAGAGCATTGCCAGGGGAGCCATACCAAACTGACTTGGGACTGAGTCATCAAGATGTGAGACAGAAGCCTTAACATGGCTTCTTCTTTTCCTCTAGCTCCCGAAAGGTTGAGGTTTGGGCAGGTTGTGTGCAGTTATCTGAATTCACTGTACTTATAAAAAGCCCAAGAGTGAATTATAACAACAAGGTGTGTGTACACACAGGCACACACACAAGTACTTCTATTTGCATTGAACAATTTTATCCTTCTAGAAATTAACCTCACGGTGCATATAGAGAATTTGCAAAACTTAGGAAGTGGGCTAAGACATTAGGTGCTCGTTATGTGCAATGTCTATGCAGTCTTAGGGCTTTTCCAGACTTGTCCCATGCCTAGAAAGTATGGGTTCCATTTGCCCAACCGCTTTCCCCAGGAAAACCTGCTCTTTACTGCTGAATTGGAGCAAACATCAATAGATGGGAAACCCAATTGACGTTTGCTCCAATTCAGCAGGAAAGAGAGGGTTTTCCCTGGGGGAAAGCAGAGGGACAAGCAGAAGTGTGGACAAGCCCTTAGCCACTAAAGCAGATCTAGTAGAGGCATTTTAAAGAAGTATTAAAGGTACTGAGGTTATGTGAATGATACAAATAAGGGAGGGCTATTAGCACAGCATGTTCAGTGCTTTTCTCTGGCCCTAATTTAGCAGACCTAAGCACTTCAGTTTAATAGAGATCATGGTGCTCTATGGCATATTACATTTTACCTGGGGAAAGAGAATGAAGAAGCAGTTTAAGAAACTGGTATTTTCCCCATGCTTTCTCTTGTTAAGAGAAGACTTGTTTTCACCTGCAACGAAGAGGCATATCCCTCTGCTGAGTGATACATTTCTCACTGGGTTTCATTTATACTGCCTTACTAAATCCAAGTGCATGTTGATCTACACAGCTATAAGCCCTTACTGCAATGCAGCACTGATTTCATATATAGAACCAAACAGCCCATGAAGAGGTTAGGGAAACACAGCAAAATACACTCTGAACTAATAATACGTTCTAGTGAACGGAGGGATCCTGCAGTACGAAAATAAACTGGTTGTCCCCAGTGTAAACGGCAAGAGAGGGAAATAGTTTTTTTACTATCAGAACACGGGGGTGAAAGTAATCAAATAGATACACCAACTTGTGCAAAAAAACAACCCACAAGCACCACCACCATACCATTGGGCAGAATAATGGGGTGAGGTGGGGAAAACCCTTGATTGCCCAACAAATAAAACAACATACCCCCTCCTTCTGAGCCAGGAAGGACAAAGATCTAGCATGCCTTTGGTAGCTCTCATATTTCCAGGGATCTGGTCCACACCCTTGGGCTGTGCAAATTGGGGGGGGGCATCCATTATCATTGGACAAGCAGGGGCCAGAGTTACATCCACTTGACCAGTGTCAAGTATTGCATCCAAGTCAGAACGGATCCGAGTGATTTTGTCAGCAAAGTGCTGAGCAAATTATTCAAAGAGGGCTGTTGAGTAGTCAAATTTCTCCTCCAGAGTATAAAAGATCCCTGACCACTCAAAACAGCTCTGCTGGATGGCTGCTTGCTGATGCAATGGAGGCAGAGAAAAATGTTGGATTTTTTAATTTATTTTTTGCTGCCCGCACTGCCAGAGCAGGTCTTCATGTAGGCTCCAGCCTGTGTTCAGTCAGACTTATCCCAAGTATTCTGCCACTGTGGATCAAATTATGAGTTACATTAATTGCATGGCTAGGAGCCATGTTAGGGGTTTTAAGAAATGTAATCCAACCTGTTTGGGTGGGGGCAATTTTCACTGGGACACCAGCGTGGGGGGAGTGTTGCTTAACCATTCTTTCTGAATCTGTGATCCTAATGAAAGTTGCCACTAAGCTAGAGTTAGGGCCAATGGGAGCCCCTCCAAGCTAACTTTAGACAGGTGGGGTGCTTTTTTGTTGGGATCATGGCTGGAGAGGCAAGTGTCAAAATTCACTTCCTCATGCATTGTTGCCCTGATGAAAACTTCCACCTTCCATGCCTAGGATTACATTAAAAACAATAAAATGCTGGCATGACGGCTAGAAAATTCGACAAACATATCGATGACTGTTCAAAGGTTTCTATACGTTATCATTCCTAGTAGTCAAATCACCTAGTAGCGAAGTCTTGAGTCATACCTTCTGGACAATGGTGGTAGCAAGCTCTTCTATCAGCTCCTCCTTATGGTCCCGTAAGTAACAAGCTTCGTTCTGTTTGTCCTGCACAAAAGGCATGCACGGGTAAGGACTGCATAAAGCAACTCTAAAAATGCACAGAATGCCAATGAAGAAAAAACTGACAGCTGTTGACAAAGCTCAGAAACACCATGGCCCTTCTACTTTGCTCCTTTCATTAATTTCTGTGTGGTTAGAACTTAGGAGGACTGATTTTAATAGCCTCTGGAAAGGTTACAGGGAGTGGACCGACTGCTTTCATACTCTGGACTTCCCAAATGTTTCTGGCTTAATGCCGCAGGAAAGATGACAACAGACTAGATCAGCCTTTGGTTTGATCGAAGATGATGCTATTGCTTGGCAAACCAGTCACAAACCCTCCAAACAAGCAATAGGAAATGTTGCCAGCGGAAAGTCTCCAGCACCTTTGCAATCTCCTAAACTCAGGCAAGCCTAAGGCTTGCCAAGCCAAGTGCCTATGGTGGCATTTGAAGAGGTGTGTTGGCTGGAGGAGTTGTCAGTAGATGGTAATCTGTTGCTTGGGGGGTGGGTTGGGGGATAGACTTAAAAGTAAGTTATTGTCATCATTCTTGGTGCAATAAAAGGTAAAGGTAAAGGACCCCTGGACGGATAAGTCCAGTCAAAGGCGACTATGGGGTGTGTCGCTCATCTTGGTTTTCAGGTCGAGGGAGCCGGCGTTTGTCCACAGACAGCTTTCCAGATCATGTGAACAGCATGACTAAAATGCTTCTGGCACATAGAGGACCACGACGAGTGCCAGAGTGCTCAGAAATGCCATTTACCTTCCCACCACAGCGGTACCTATTTATCTACTTGCACTGGTGTGCTTTCAAACTGCTACATTGGCAGAAGCTGGAACAGAGCAACAGCTCACCCCATTGCAGGGATTCAAACCACCAACCTTCGAATTGGCAAGTCCCAGAGGCTCAGTGGTTTAGACCACAATGCTACTTGTGTCCCCTTCTTGGTGCGATAATGAGGGTATAACTACACTGCAGAGCTTTTGAATAATGCAATAAAATATCCTATGATGGTGAAGATCAGAGTCTTCTCTGACTACACTGCTCCTGCTAATTAAGCAGGAGCTATCTTTTTTTGTGGGGGAGGGTGGAAATATCATTATCAAAATAATGAATGTAATTACAATATTCTTACCAAGCTGTCTCCGTACATCTCTGCCTTAGAAATAGCTTCTTCTATTGCTTCTTCTGCAACACGCAAGGCCACAGCAAGGGTGTCCATCATGCTGTGTCCTAAGCAAAGAATGCATTAAAGCATGTTTAGCATTTATGGAACAGAGGAGAGCAGTGAAGTGGAGGGGGGCGGCGGCGGCGAGAAATGGCTCTTTTCCAGAACCCCTCTCTTTCTAGGAAAAATACATCCATTCACCATTTCCCTTCCAAAAATTATCAGTCTGTGCAGATAAGACTGCACTGTGTTTCAGGTAGAAAGCAGAATTTGCTTGCAGGGCAAATAACTCCAATTGACTACAAAGGAAGGCAAATAAATACTTTACATATGATATATAACAACAGCAATCCCATGTCTGAGCTACTCCAGCTGTGGGGCTATTGGATATGGCAAAACCCCTGTTACAGTCATGACAGACAGATATGAGGATAGAATACCACAAATATGCCAGTGGGACACTGTTGTTGAGCTATAACTCCCATCATCCATGGCCATTGGTGATGTTTGATGGGACTGATGCGAGCTGCAGATCAGCAACAGCTGGAGGGCCAGAGGTTCCCCACACCTGCCCCAGAGCAACAAGTATACTTAAAGATACACAAAGTTAGGAAAGTGACGGGGAAAGGTGCGGGGTGAAAAGTGGGGGATGAACAAATGATTGGTGTGAAGATGTATAAATATTCTGAAAGCATATCAGGATGAATGCACAACAGACAGGGTGTGTGGAGGAGCCCTTTAGGCACTATTATCATATGAGGGAGATCCATCTATGGTCCAGGTCATTTCATCCAGTAACTCAATTTGCAACAATGTAGTTATAGTAAAACACATGCACTTTTGAACGTAATTACCTTCTGTCTGTCTGTAGAAAGTAGAGTCACTGCCACAAATGCTTCCTTCATTTTCTATCGTTCCCTCACAGAAGCTTCCTGCTTCTACTCAAAAAGAACATTATTGTCATCGTCACTGTCACTGCCATTCACTAATGCCATATATAACTTCAGAAGAAAAGGGTTCCCTCTAGAATGTGGCCGTTATTTCTAAATGCACCACCATTACAAAAACAAGCAAACGGGGGAGGGGGGGGAGTGAAATATCCTTAACACAAAAGACATGCGGCTGAAAAATAAATCCTTTTTAAAAAGAAGTTATTGTGCTTCATTTTTCAAAAATATTTCTTTCCAGAGGAGAAAAATTTATCACACCTGGCTAATCCCTGGATTCAGACAATGGCTGCTGGAGTAAGAGAGAGAACTATGAAGTTAACAATAAGCAGAGATTGCAAGCAGAATGCCAGTGCAGAGGACTTGCTTTGAATGTGACATTTTGGGCTTGAAATAGATCACGGATTCCAAAGGGCATCATTTCGTATAAGAAAAGGAAAATTAATCCTGCTTCTGTATCAAATGGAACAAGAGGACTATCTCACAGTCACAGTGGAAAGAAACAAACATCAGTTGCCTGTGATGGAAAAAGAGAGGACTTGTTTCTCTGAAGCCGATATAAGCTCTCACAAACCCTGAGGGGTAAAATGATGTTTTATCAGTATGGTTAATAAGCCAGTTTTCTGCCACGGACATTATAATAGAATTAGTAGCAACGTTTCCATCGTGCCTGATGGGAGAGGAGGAGAGTATGCTAAGCGGCTAAGAGGCAGCCTTGCTCAGCTCTTGGCTCATTTGTCATTTCCTTCCTCCTTCTCTCTCAGCATTGGCTTGGTTCCTGGGACGAGAAGGTAGCTCTTCCCCTGCAAGCCCTTCTTCCCAAACTGCAGCTCCCTACCTAAACTGCTGTTGCAGGCAGTGGCTTGAATCAGGAGTGGTTAGGCAGCCAGCAGACTCAAGAGAGAGAAATAACCGTAGTTTATTAATATACAAATTCCATGGAGGAATACAGCGCAGGTACTGCGGCACAGAGATTGAAATCCACATGGATTTTTCAGAGTGATTTGTGAGCAGGATACTGAAAGGAAGTTTTGGGGAGGTGATGGGGTGGTGGTAGGGGGAGACTGGGCATGACACAGGAAGGCTGGTACAATTTAGATGTTCCTGAATTACTCTGACCAAAGAGGAATACTCATCCACCACCCCAAATCATTTCAAACTTTCATGTTTTATATCTCTTTGAGTCCCCCTTTTCTGTTCATCACTTTCCTGGAAGGGGCTCTATCCAGACCCAAAGGATACTTGTCAGAGGCCAGAACTTCCTCAGCAATGACAGCTCAGGCTTATTCTGGAATGTGCTTTGGAAGCAGCAAAAGGGGGTTCTGGACATGCTAGTGTTCTCCTTGCCAACAGACCAGGCTTCAGGCATAAATGTTGGCGATTATAAGCTCTGGGACCCTGTAAGATCCCCCTACAACCAATTGGGTTACATCAGGGGTAGCCAACATGGTACCCCTCTATATGTTTTGGATCAGGGATCAGACCATCAAGGATCATGGGAGTTGTACTGCAACAACCTCGTAGGGCTCCCCGTTGGTTTCCCCTTGGTTACAGAGGAAGCTCATATAAAGACAAACAATAGGCTGAGGTCCTCGTTTTTGTTGTAATTTTACTAATAAATATGATGGATGGCAGATTGATTTCTATCTGTCCTCTGCTGCTTGGAGTTGCTTGGAAGCAAGGGTACCTCTGGGCTGCATTAAGTTGGCAGTCTATAGTATGAAAGCACAGATGATGAGTAGCCTCTTACTGCAAGGTTTCTGCCACCTTCGGCTCAGAGATCTTTCCATGCTTTTTTGTTTTTTTTAACCAACATAATGTTTTCCATCTCCATAAAGACATTCCCTGATGGGAATTAATACAAAAGGAGGAAAATGTTCCAGCAGAAGTTCGCTAAGATGACCTAACATATAAAGAATGGTACTTGCAAAAAGCAAAAAATAAGAATAATTGTTGGTTAAAAAATAGATGTAAGGATTTTAATTGGATTAGAACAAAGCTAAAATAGAGGCACCCTTAAGAATTGATAGCAATTTTTCTGTACGTGCTAATTATGGGCAATGGCACAGCCATGGGTACCACCTGCACGGCTTCACATTATGCACACTTCTTCCTTAACTCTGCTGTCAAATGCCTCTCCCCTTCCTGAAACACACTGATGACATCTTCATCATCAGCACCCATGGGCAGTAAAGCCTTGAGGAATTGCAAGGAGGCTTCTGTAAGTTTCCACCCCAACTAGTTCATTCTGCACATTCATATTCTGGACACTACTGTGCAGCTACACAATGGGCATATATAAGCATTGCTTAGACCAGAAACCACTGACACATATTTGCACAATTCTAGCTTCCACCCAGAACACACCACAAAGCCCATTGTTTATTGCCAAGTCTCATGATACAACTGCATTTCTCCCAGCTTTGTTAGGACGCAGATTCATGCCTTGATATACACGAGACATTACAGATCAAGAGCCAGTAATAACTTACTACAAGACAGATCCAGAAGAAAAGGTGACAGGATACTATATCATGTCCCATACTGCTCACAGCTAAAATCACTCCAATGCATTTTCAATTTTCCTGGATAATAACACTTTTCTCCCACAGGCTTTGGATAGCAAACCGACCTTTGCCTAGAGATAGCCCACTAATTTAAAACAGCTAGTGACCAGCAACAGGACACATAAGAGAGAGATAAACACAGAGGCTAGATCAGAGGTCGGCAACCTAAGGCCCATGGGCCGGTTCCAGCCCATGACTTCCTGAATCCGTGAATCGGCGTGGGGATTCGGTGCTTCTTTTTTCCCGCAGCGCCATTTTTTTTCTCACCGCGGGGACCGACTTCCGGCATATATGCTATTTCCAGCACACACGCTATTTCTGGTGCTCTTCCGACCCAGAAGAGCGCCGGAAATAGCTTCAGTGCATGCCCAGGTGCGCATGCTCCAGCCCACTGAGAGGTCTGCCAGGGAGTGGACCGGCCCAGCCTCAACAAACGTTCCCAACCCCTGGGCTAGATCCTGCAACAAGCCTAGATGCATCTTTCTGTCCCTGTATACACTCAGGCAACACTATTACAGGTTCTAAAGTCAGCTGCAATACCAGGTTTCCACCCATCTTCCAATGTGATACATGCTCTCATCTGCAAGCAAAGCTCTTCTGCATAGACTGAGCAGGCTGGTCTCTACACATGTGAGTACAGGCAACACACCCACACCCAATTTATGTTCTGGGTGATCGTGGGCATAAATCCCGTCCCACCCTGCCTCGTCCCACCCTCTTCCGGTGTCAAACACGGCACGCACAGTTGTGCATGCATCAAACAAGCGCAAATTAAGAGTTGCCTGTAAACGGACACAAATCTGACATCAGAAACTGCAGCAGCGGAAGAACATATCAGTCTCCCGGAATACCCCTCTTGCTGACCTGAAAGTTGTCATTCTCCAGCAGAGGAATTTCAAATGGAAACACCAGTTTGAAATTTATAAATCAGACCTAATCAATAACCTTTATTCTATTTGCTTTAATCTTGAATGCAGACAATAGTTTACAATTCCACTACAGGTAGCAACTAGCATAAGAAAATGAGGATAATGCCACCAGTTATTGCTGTTAAGAAAAGCAAAATAAATATTCATAAGCTTTACACAGAATTCTCACAGATTTATGCTTTGCCTTCCTGCCCTCCATACCCAAGTATGCACAGATGTGATAAAGTGGACTTGTGCCCATGAACATTTATGCTACAATAAATCTGTTAGCCTTTAAGGTGCCACAAGACATTGCCTCTATACCTAGTATATCAGAACAAGCTCCAGTCTCCAGCCGATGTTTTCTGTATAAATTCTTCAGGACTTTAGCACTTCCAAAACGCTTGAAGCGGCTTTTCACATTATTGTAGTACCATTCCAGCGACTGAACTCGTAAAAGTCTGGAAGAAAGGAAGAAAGACAGATTTCAGAAAATTTAGAACCAAGCTGGGGTTTCTTTTAAAACAATTTCTCAGTAGTTTTAGGAAGGCTGGGCTGGGGTAAAAATAAGGAAAATATAAAAACTCTAATCACCACCCCTGGTTTTAGCCCAGCTCTCTATCATGCTGTTTGTTGTACGTAATTTGTCTAATCTGCAAACTGAACACATTTTGATGCACTTACAACAGATAACATTATGTTCTTAGGTTTGCACAAGCAAATAATTATAGTCATTGTTCGGGTGCTTTGAATTCTTCTTTTCTCTGTTTCACAGAGGTTTTGAGAAAACATTATTTTCATAACAATGGAACCCACCAAACAATTGGATTCATGGTATGTTGACCACATCTTCCTCTGCCCCTCCTCCCTTCCTTTGGTGATCAGAAACAATTTTGAAATTCACTTTGCTATGCTTCTGGTGAGTTTTTAATCTGACATTTGTCCGATATATTAATTTCTACCATGAAGTCTAAATCTGTGTATCTTTTCTGCATGAATTCCCTAACAGATTGTGATGAATCTTCTAAAGCTTTTCAGCCTCTTAGCGTTATGTTAAGTCACAAATGTCCCTCCTGATTCCTACTGTATAGAAAGAATCTGGAGGGGAAGGAGCGATCCCTGTTAGAAGGTATTACAATAAAGGGCCCATTCAAAAGATAAATAAGGACACAGTCTGCATGTTTCAGAATCCTTTAATGTTGACCTGCATTTTGGAAACCACAAGTAACCGTGTTCTGCAAATGCAGCCTTTCAATGTATGTAGAAAACTGAATAAACTCTACCTCCAGATCTATATATAGAATCATTTTCTTTCACTTACCTATATTGCAGTGTATGCCGATTCTCTCCATGAAATACAAATACTCGTTTAAAGAACACTGTCACTCTCATTTTAAAGGGGAAAATGGCTATAGCTATTTTCTTCTAGTTTCCGTGCTACAAGGACAGCCATATTAATTGTTCGCAGCCTGAAATCCCAAGGCCATATTGTGTTATGTAAAGTCAAATCCTATTAACAGGTGGTTTAAAAAAAAATCCACAGTAGCAATATTGCGACTGAGTATCAGGATTATGTGTCATGTGATGATTCAGTCCATATTCAAGTACTGAAAAACTGACTGGTTCAATGAATGAACCCAATGTAAAAGTGTTACTACAAACCATGAACTGATGAGATCACACAAAAGGTGAGTGTAGAGGCAAGAAAAGTAAGGGAAGAAAGAAAGAAAGAAAGAAAGAAAGAAAGAAAGAAAGAAAGAAAGAAAGAAAGAAAGTTGCTTCCACAGAAGCTCTTCATTCTGAAATGAGAACAGTAGGTAGCAAGCCTGGCCTTAAATCTTGAGTGGTGCCCATGACCTGGTGCAAAACTGGTGTCGAACCTGGTGCCCATTTCCCTCCAAGGTGAGAGGAAGTGACATAGGCTAAGCCTGGCAAGACAGCTTACTTTATGGTATTAACCCCTTCATGCTTGAATTAGACTCATGCACGCTGGTTATATGAGGCTGGGTCCCTAGAGGCTGATGAAGCTACTCATCAGCCATGCACTTGAAACTGAGCAGTAAAAGAGGCAGAAGCTGCAATGAAGAAACAACTAATTTAAGGTATGAAAACCTTGAAAAGACTTCTTAGCGCTTTGCCAGCACCACAATGGATGCCGCAGTTGCATTTTAATAATGGCCCCAAATCTTCTCCGGAAAAGACCATAGGATGGCACAGGCAGACTGGAGTGCAACATGTGTTGGCAAGAACATTGTCTGGATTCTCCTTAAAAAGTGAGTGATGGCAATTCCAGGCAAGAAGTGTAAAATATGTGTGCGGGACAGGAAAGAATGTGTGGCTTTGAGATTTGCCGGTGTGTGTTTGTTTGTGTGTGATAGTTGCTTGACATTCTCCTTGGAAGCGCTGTGCCCCAACTGCCCTAGTGGACCAGCCTCCACAGACAAAAATATTCATGAGAATCTGAAGATATTGGCAACATTCCTTGCAAGCTTCTAACATTTCACAGATTAAAATAGATATGCTTATAGCACCTTTCCCACCCCTCAAAAACCACTGCTCAGGCACCATCGCCTGCATCAGACATTGTTCAGTGCTCTGTTCCATCTGCTATATTCATTTGCCCTTTGATATCTTCCACTATTTCCCACTCACTGAAAAATCCCAACACAGTAGTGCCTTTTTTTTAAAAAAAAATCTACCATCACATACTTGTCCTACACCAGGCTATATCAGCAGTCAAAAACAGATCTCAGCATCTGCAGCGTGTGAAATGTCAGACTGTGATTCCTCAGTGTACAAATACGCATGCATGTGTGTTAGAGATTTAATGCATCCATCTACCCACCCAATCAATAATGTAATATCTAGAGATTCTGAGAAAGGAGTGGAACTCTGAAGAGTGACAATGCTAGCAGCTCATTGCGTGGCAAGGTCCCAAACCCTCCCAGGAAGTGGAATAAAGACACACGAAACAGTATTTTAGGTTAGTGGGCGAAAAAGGCCACAACTTTATTGGTTACAGAATGTGAGTGGTATTGGCTTGGGCATTGGAAACCACACGACTATATCTGACTCCTACCTGTCTGCAGGAAGTCTTGGAAGGGTTAACCACCTGCCGATGCACATCAACTAGGGACTCCCCCAGGGTCACCGCTAGGGGTGGTGCCATGGCCCTAGCCCCCCTGTCTGGGGCTTCGGACGGAGACCATGCCCCCAGATTCCTTTAACGGACTACCCTTGAATTAGGCAGGGTAGGTGATGGCCACTACATCCCCTCCCCTTCAACCTAATACTCCAATGCCTAACCGCCTAGCCTTACAAAGTTGTGATGATTTGCTATGAGGTAGGAGAAAAAACCAAATGGCCGGTGCTAATTTGCCAAGTGGAAAAATTCCTACCAGGCCCCTTGGACAACCAACCGAGGTTCATAGCAAGGTCAAGAAATAAAAGAGCCTAACCTAAGGGAGGGAGGGTGGGAAAACTGGCCAAGCAGGGAGAAAAACAGGGGCGAGGATGGCCTAAGGATGACGTGGCCGAGGACCATCCAATGGCACAGGGGCGATCCCACCCTGCGCACGTGAGGAGGACTTGCTCCCAGCCCACAACATCATCTCTCTGGGAATGGGAAATGTTTACTAACACTATTTTAATGAAGCATCCTCAGAAAGCAAAAACAGGGGAGAAAATGAGGGCAGTGATTTATCATAGAACTGAAAACAAGGACTGGACCAGGTAAGCTAGCTAAACACTTGGAATGCATGCAGCAAGCACTCAAGGGCTAACCCTTTAGAAACTCCAAAGAATTCCAGGTTTCTTTTTTAAAACCTTTAAGCTCTCGTACCTGCAGAGGAAACCTGGAGAACAGCAGTGAGTGGAATCAACCTTAAATGCTCCTATATCAGAAGCTTATTTGTAAATATAGCAAAATATAAAACAAGTTTAATTCCCCCAGCTCATCATTTTAAAGACAAGTTTATTATTCTGAGAATATTCAGGTTCTAGGACAAACATACAGCCCTATTCATTTCACTAGCTGTGATCCAATAATTCATCTGATTTTGGAAACACTGCAAAAACCTGTCAAGAGCAAGCCAGAAAACCAGTATTGCAACTGCAGTCTTTCCACTCTGGCTGGTGCAGTGCTAGATGCTGAACTAATGCTGATACCAGATGGAGGGAAGATATCTTGTCCCAGGGGCTAAAATATCTCAGTTTCATTAGTTTCATAAAATAGACACATCTGCCCATTACGGTTTTCTCACCTGTAAAGGAACAGCTTTCTAGACAAAATGAGTAAATGGGTTTCAAATGGAAAATTTAATATATTTTGTTTTCAGTCTCCCAAGTTCAGTTTTTCCTCGTTTTGCTTATAAAACCCTGTGAAAACCTCTCTTCACTGATGTTGCCAGCTACTCTTTCAGAATGCTCCTCAACAATCATTCGTATCATGCCGTCTTGACTTAATCCATGGTCCCCAGTGCTCTTGGGGTACACCCCTAAGGACTTTTCTACCATTCCCATTTCAATGCTTGATGTCACACTGTCAGGAGACATACCCCCCCCCCAAACGAGACACCCCTCCATCATGGTGCTTTAGCGAGCAGACAATATATACCGGCTCTATCTCATATGTTCTGTTTTGCTGCGCAGGGAAGTTGATTAAGGGACCTTTGTAGCACATCTTTGTAGCAAGTATACACCAGAAAAACAGCTATATTTAAAATCTGGAAGCTGACAGATTATTTGGAATATAAAGCTGGCATATGTTCTGCATGCCTGACCTGCCCCCACCCACCCCAAAATGAACTAGACATGAATAAATAAAGGAGAACATTGCTTTCGGGTTACCTGTCCACAATAACTATTAAATATTAGCAGATCTCTGTTTCCACATATTTGTTTAGTTAGTTAGCACAAACACTTTAAACTAAAAAATTTGCAGCTCCCCCAATTGCTACAATTATATGTATGACTTAAAACCAACTCACCTGAAGAATTTTGACTACTGACTTTTACACAGAGTGTTGTGAACTGTAACTAAAACTGCTCTGGGATTTATTGAAGTGAGGGCTTAGCCACACTTAGCTTTCTTCCACACTTTCCAGGCATGGCCAGCTTTTTAAAGCTCTGTGTCTGAGTGCCCCCTTTTGTTTTTGCTGCAGAGCTCCCCCCCCCGCCCCCCAAAAAACCCCACTCTAAAATGCTGAATTGGAGCAAATGGCAGTCCACAGAAAACCCAGATAGCAGTTTGCTCCGATTCAACTTTAGAGAGCGGGTTTCTGCAGGGAAAGCTCTGGAGCAAAAAGGAAGGTGGGGGGAGGTCTTTGGACACAGAGTTTTAAAGTGCAGACCTGTGCCTGGAAAGAGTGGGGCAAAAGGTAAGTTGTGAGTAAGCCCTGAGTTTGCTACCACTAGACATCTATGGCTATTCCACTTCCAAAACAGGGATTACACAGAGGAG